TTGATTTGAGAAAGAGAGAGACAGAAATATCAATCATTCTATTTATTTATATTCATTGGTTTATTTTTGTGTGTGACCTGGGATTTATCCTACTATCGGCATATTGGGATGATGCTCTAATCATTCGAGCTTCCTGGCCAGGTTGAAAAACAACATGGTGATCCACTACATGACATTTTGGAAAAGGCAAAGGATTGGTCTGGCTGGTGTTGCTCAATGGTTAGGTGTCAACCTATAAACCAGGAGGCCATGGTTCAATTTCCGGTCAGGACACACACCTGGGTTGCAGACTTGATTTCCAGTAGGGGTTGTGCAGGAGGCAGCTAATCGATGTTTCTAACTCTCTATCCCTCTCCCTTCCTCTCTGTAAAAAATCAATAAAATATATATATTTTTAAAAAGTGTGATTGATACAAACATGGAGGAAGTGGGAAGAGCCAGTCTTTAGGGCAGTGATGGTGAACCTATGACACGCGTGTCACCTCTGAACTCATTTTTTTGGTTGATTTTTCTTTGTTAAATGGCATTTAAATATATAAAATAGATATCAAAAATATAAATCTTTTTCTTACTATGGTTGCAGTTTGGAATATCAAAACATTTCTATATGTGACACGGCACCAGAGCTAAGTTAGGGTTTTTCAAAATGCTGACACGCCGAGCTCAAAAGGTTAGCCATCACTGCTTTAGGGTTTGTCCCTTTCTGTTTCAGTAGAAAGACTTCTTTCTATGCAGAATTGCGTCCTTGTTGGCTTCCAGAAGCATCCCGAATCCTGGCGGCCCGTGGAGCTCAAAAGGTTCACCATCACTGCTTTAGGGTTAGTCTCTTTCTGTTTCAGTAGAAAGACTTCTATGCAGAATTGCATCTTTGTTGCCTTCCAAAAGCATCCCAAATCCTCATGGCCCGCAGACCAGCAGCTTAGGCAGAGTCCCGGGCTCGGAGGACCCCATCTGCTGCCCCAGGACCTGTCGATGCAGGACATAACCCTGGTCTCTCTTCTCGTCCTTCCAGGATTTTCGGTCTTGACATTAAGGGCAGGGACTGTGGCGACGAGGCCGCTCAGTGGTTCACCAACTTTTTGAAAACGGAGGCCTTCAGGCTGGTCCAGTTTGAAAAGAGCATGAAGGGAAGGGCGTCGAGGAACATTTTCCCGTCTTTTGTGCAGAACTACCAGGTGAGCTGCCAGAGACCCGCCCCTCACCTCCCTCTGCCTGCCTGTCACCTGCTCGTTCCTCCTCCTTCTCCCACAAAGAGCCTCTCTGGGGACCCCAGTCAGGAAAGGCCACCTGGGCCGGTGTTGGGGATGGAGAGGGAAGTGGGATGCGTGGAGGATGGAATGTGGGGGGCAGCTGTGCAGGGAGAAGCCAGGAGCGACGCTCAGGCACTCAGGAGAAAACGCTTGGGGAGGTGAAAGTGAGAGGTTCGTTTGGGACTGAATGCAGGTTTCCTAAAATTTCAGAAGCAGGCTGTCCCCTAGCCAGCGCTGTTTTCGCAGGCAGTGTGGGACGGCTTTCTCCGGTGCCGGGAAGGCACCTCCAGTGAAGAAACTGCGCCCTGTCCCTTTGCTTCTGCAGTGACATAAGGTTTAAAATAGCATGCATGCTCCTCAGGGTGCCTCCCCAGGCTCCCCGATCCCCAGGTTCCTTGAGTGCATGGCCTTGTACCTGCATTGTTCTCTGCCATTTCCCCGCCTAGAACAAGGCTGACGCATAGTAGGTGCTTCATTAAATGCATGTTGAGGGACTGGTGGCAGCTGAACGACCTCCTTACTCCAGTAGAGCTGATTGGCCGAGGACGCTTCCCCTGTTGGATGAGGATGAGGATGAGGATGTGGGAGGGGATCACCTGCTGGGCGCTGGGGTGAGAAATGAGAAGGAGAGTGGGGCCTGCAGGGGGAGGTTGGCCCCCAGCCTGGCTGCTGCTTTCAGTGTGTGGTCGGCAGGGGGACCCACCCCCCCCTTAAGCCCAGAGCTGACTTGGCCATTTCCAAGCTCGGAGCATCCCCTCTTCCCTTCTGCACTCGGGTGTTTTTCCACTCAAGTGTAGAAATAAGCCTCCTCTTATTTTTTATTTTTATTTCAGAAAGGGAGAGGGAGAGAGAGATAGAAACATCATCAATGAGAGAGAATCATCAATCGGCTGCCTCCTGCACGCCTCCTACTGGGGATGGAGCCCGTCACCCAGGCATGTGCCCTTGACCGGAAATCGAACCTGGGACTCTTCAGTCCGCAGGCCGGCGCTCTATCCACTGAGCCACACCGGCTGGGGTTGGCTTCTAGACTTTGCCTAGCTTTGCAGTCGGCCCAGGGAATGCCACGAGGCGGCGAGGCCTGAGGGGACCGTGCTCTTGACACAGGTGGCCTACCCGGACTGCAGCCCGGTAATGATCCTCTCGGAGGCCTCCCTTGCGGATCTGAACACCAGGCTGGAGAAGAAGGTGAAGATGGACCACTTCCGGCCAAATATCGTGGTGACGGGCTGCGATGCCTTTGAGGAGGTCAGTGGCTCCCTGTTTTTGTGCGTCACGCCCAGAATGCGCTGCTCAAGACCCTAGCCGGGGTGGGGAACCTTTTTTCTGCCTAGGGCCATTTGGATATTTATAACATCATTCGCGGGCCATACGAAAGGATTCAGCTTAAAAACCAGCCTGCAATCGTTGGCCAAACATTTCAGGAACTCACCCCTGAGGCCTTGGCAGGGCCAGACCAAAGGATTTCCAGGTCCTCATATGGGGCCCGCGGGCCGGACGTTCCCCACCCCTGCGTCGGAATGGGAACGCTGCTGTCTCCTTTCGCTGGGGCAACTCCGACCCTGCAGGGTTGGCAGTGCGGAAAACTCCCTCCCCAATCACCTTTGAGTCCTTTTGGGAGATACTCCTTGGTGTCTTCTCGCACTGCTTTCTTGTGCTTAGCTCAGTCGTGGGCAAACTACGGCCCGTGGGCTGGATCCGGCCCGTTTGAAATGAATAAAACTATTGAAAAAAAAGACAATACCCTTTTATGTAATGATGTTTACTTTGAATTTATATTAGTTCACACAAACACTCCATCCATGCTTTTGTTCCGGGCCTCCGGTCCAGTTTAAGAACCCATTGTGGTCCTCGAGTCAAAAAGTTTGCCCACCCCTGGCTTAGCTCCATGGCTAGTACCAGCCAAAGAATAAACTGCTTTAAAGACAAATGAAACCTTGCCCTAGCCGGTTTGGCTCAGTGGATAGAGCGTTGGCCTGCGGACTGAAGGGTCACAGGTTCGATTTGGATCAGCTCATGAATGTACCCCAATAGCTGATGCCTGGGTTGCAGGCTCCATCCCCAATAGGGGGCGTGCAGGAGGCAGCCAATCAATATTCTCTCTCATCATTGATATCTCTCTCTCCTCTCTCTTCCTCTCTGAAATCACTAAAAATATATTAAATAAATAAATAAAAATAAAATGAGGCCATGGTGAAGTAAAGAGCAAGCCGTGCAAACATCTGGATAAAAAATAATTAAAAAAAAAAAGACGAATGAAGCCTTAACTCAACAGATAGTGTTCCCTCTTCTCCTAGGATACCTGGGACGAAATCCGAATTGGCAGCACAGAAATGAAAAAGGTTTTGGCTTGCCCCAGGTAAGGACTCTCGGGAGACTTGAGCCCTGGGGTGTGGCCCGCCCATCGGTTCTTAATTGGCCCCTAACCCCATGGCTCCTGCCTGACAGGTGCATCATGACCACGGTGGACCCGGATACCGGAGTGATAGACCGGAAGGAGCCCCTGGAGACGCTGAAGAGGTAGGACACGTGTCCTGTGTGTTTTTAATGTGACCCCCACCTTGAACCGCCTGTGGGCGGAGGGGCTCTGTTCGGGCACCTTCCACTCGGCCTTCCGGTTGATTTCTGTCTATCAGTTATTGCGAGTGCTGCTTCCTCTTTGCTTCTGGATGCATCTTTTAGTGCTTTTGACAATTTTTTAAAAATATGTGTTTTTATCGATTTTAGAGAGAGAGAAAAGGAGAGGGAGGGAGAAGGAGAGAGAGAGAAACATCAATGAGAAAGAGAAGCATCTATGACCTGCCATTTATTTATAAATAAGCTGGGGATGAAAGCTTGAATTCTATGAAAAGCACTTAGTGAACATCGATGTGAGAGAGACACATCAATTGGTTGCCTCCTGCACGAGCCCTACCAGGGCCTGGGCTGGGGAGGAGCCTGCAACCGAGGTACATGCCCTTGACTAGAATCAAACCCGGGACCCTTTGGTCAACAGGCCGACGCTCTATCCACTGAGCCAAACCGGAGAGGGCAAAAGCACTTAGGTTATTAACCCTTTTGGGTTCTTTCAGCTACCGCCTGTGTAATCCTTCCGAGAAGCACATCTATAAGTCATCCCCACTTTTTGGGATCTATTATTCGGTGGAAAAAATCGGAAGCTTGAAAGTGGGCGACCCCGTGTACAAGATGGTGCAGTGACGGACCCGCAGGGTGAGTGACGTGGGAAAGGGCTGGCTTTGCTTGCGGAAGGCAGTGCCTTGACGTCGCGGCCACACTTTCTCGCGTTCAGATGTTTCTACGTTTTGCTGGAAGAGTGAGCAGCTTGCGTTCTGACCTGTGGAGTTGGAAAATGCCCTTTATTTTTAACCCCCTCAGTCATCTGTATTCCTCCACCCAGCCTTGCCCATCCCACGCTCCCATTCCACATTGGAGCTGATGCTGGGGCCGCTGCAAAGACAGGTTTGTGTGCCCAGCTCACTAGGGGGTATTATTCAGAATAAGACCATGAAGGTGAGTGACCCGCAAGAGCTACATACTTATCTTGTTTCCGTCTCTGATATACATATATATATCTCATATGCTACACACACACACAGTCCCCCAAAAATGTATACATACTGTAACAGCAGATAGCTCAACTGATGTTTCTTTCTTTTCAGATTTAACACATTGGAATGAATAGTTATTCAAAGTGTGTATACATTTTTGGGGACACCCTATATATACATGTATATATCTTACATATATCATGTATCTATCATAAGATACACACACACACAGAAGTATGTATCATAAGCACTTCCATAGCCTTCCAATCTATTCATATGTCATTTAAAATAATATATTATATATATATATATATATTGATTTCAGAAAAGAAGGGAGCGGGAGAGAGAAACATCAATGAGAGAGAATCATTGATCAGCTGCCTCCTACACGCCCCACACTGGGGATCGAGCCCGCAACCTGGGCATGCGCCCTGACCCGGGAATCGAATGGGACCTCTTGGTTCATAGGTTGACGCTCAGCCAATGAGCCACGCTAGCCGGGCTCAAATGCCACTTTTGATGGCTTCATAACACTACCTCATCTTACAGTATTTGACAGTTGGACTATGTCCGGTTTTGTTAAAAAGCAATATTGTGGCACATGTGTTTGTATGCAGAGCATTTAAAATGAAGTGTTTTCCTACGAGTTCTGTTTTTAAAGTGGGATTATTGACTCATGGGGGTCTCGGCATATTTCTCAGCATCTTGACCAATTGCTTTCCAGAGGGCTCTTCCCATCTGCACCCCCACATGTCCTGTGAGAGACACCCCTCGCTCTGAGCTGTTGCCAGAACTGGGTAATAAATATGTGAATGAATTCACTGACCTACAAGGTGACTTTTTCCCATTAAGGTGATTTGATGCAAGATATGATTTCGATTTCCTGCATTTCAATAAGTGGCTGTTTTCTGGGTATTTGCATTACGTACGGCCAGTAGGAGAAATAAGCAAATAATCAGAGATGCTTGTTATTTTTTTCAGATGTAAGCGTCCACGAGACATCGATCAGGATTTTAACTACAATAACAGCGCCACCTGGGAGAATCCCATCACCAGCCTCTGACTGTCTTCGCCCTGGAAGCGAATCTTCGTTTTTGACTTTTTGGAGTTATTCGTGCTCCGAGTTAATGCAAGGAAAGTATTAGAGGTGATTTGGGGGATGAAAGGTTATATAGATTTTAGGTGAGGAAGACTTTTTAAATGAATGAAATCATCTATAAAATCGTTTTTGAATGGTACTGTAGCTCTTACCCTTCGGACATGAATACTGACGAGTGAAGAAAGTATAAAGAATCTTCTAAAGCTGCACAATTTTTTCAAAACGTTTACTTTTTATCACCTCCCATGCCCTGCTTTAGGCGAAATGCAGAACAGCAGGTTTCCTGATGTGCCGTTATAGACGAACACGCAAAATTCTGCTAGTCGGTTCTTCACACGAGGATATATTTTCAATTGATTTTTAGAGAGAGAGGAAGGGAGGGAGGGAGCGAGGGAGGGGCAGAGAGAAACATAGATGTGAGAGAGACTCATTGATTGGCTGCCGCCCTGACTGGGGTGAGAGATCGAACCTGCAACCCAGGTATATGCCCTTCACTGGGAATCAAACCCAGAACCTTCTGTGTGTGTGTTGTGTGTGTGTGTGTGGGGGGGTGATGCTCTAACCACTAAGCACACTGGCCAGGGCCCTATTCGTTGGTTTTTACACAGCTGTTGAGTCCTATGGACCTTCCATGCATGTGCTTTTGACCCAACCACCATGGAATGAGGTTGTACTCGAGTAGGGCGGTTATTTTAGAAACCTTGTTTTTATAGTCAATTATGCCTCTCTTAAGCCATATAGAATTGTGTAACTGCCAGATACACTGCCTGGAAACCCAGGTGTGATCAAGGAGAGAACTGGGATGTAAAAGAGAAAGGAAGTTTGAGAGTCGGAGTGGGGAGAAGGAAGGTTGCCCATAGATTCTTAGGCGCAAATCATTTCCATTTTGGTAACCAAGAGAAATGAACTTTTTTGGCATGATGCAGCAAAAATTCCCACTGAAGTAATAAATATGTGAATGAATTCACCGACTTATAATGTTGTGCTTCCTCTACTATTAATAAATGTTTTACTTCTTTGGTATGTATGAGCCTGTTTCCAGGGCTTTCTCATTTTATATTAGAACTTTAGTCAGTGCCTTTCACCCTTTCGATTGCCTGGCGGAGACGCATTCCGACTCCACAAACATTACCTCCTGTCCCTGGTGGGGGACGGGGCCTCAGGGGGTACAGTCCGTCTGACAGAGGTGGCCGGTGGGTGGCTGCGAGGAGACTTCCCAGTGGCCCGTAGGACCAGCTGTTCCCACCCTTGTTTTCCTGTGAGGGGAAGGTGGTCACTTCGCAATACCCCTGAGTAAATTGTGGAAATGATGAAAAATCATGCTAACTTTAAAGTCCACCATTAACATAGAGAAGCGAAATCTTCCCTTTAAATTTCTGAAGATATGCCTGGCCTGTGTGGCTCAGTGGTTGAGTGTTGACCCATGAACCAGGAGGTCACCGTTAGATTCCTGGTAAGGGCACACGCCCGGGTTGTGGGCTTGATCCCCAGTGTGGGGCATGCAGGAGCAGCCAGTCAATGATTCTCTCTCATCATTGATGTTTCTATCTCTCTCTCCCTTCCTATCTGAAATCAATAAAAATATATTTTTAAAAAAATTCTGAATTGAAATTAGGGAGAGAAATAGAAATCCATAAAATATAAGGTTTTGGGGCTGTCTTTTCCTTGGAGAATATGGGGTCCAAAGTCCTGCGTTGTTCTGGGATGTGTTACTCTATCTCCCCAGGCCGCCCACCAGACAACATTTGGGGGAGGGAAGAGGTGAGCGCGTGGATGGACCCCAGTAGCTGAAGCAACCCTGATCTGTGTGCCCTGAACACAATTCCTGGATTCGGGGAGAGGGAGAGGGTGCCCTGAGGTTGGAGAATGAACAGGACAGATTCGTCTGTCCCCAGACTCCCGCCCCTGGGAGGGGGGCGAGGACACCGGGGCGCACCTGCTCCTCACTCTCCCCAAGCTTGGGAGCTGCCCGCCGCCTGGTTTCTAATTCGAACTCAGGCTTTGTCTTGCACATGTTCTCTCTCGATCCATTTTAGGTTGAATAAACAGGCCACAAGTAAGTAGATAAATCAATCAATTGGCCGCTGGTGGCCTTAGTCACGCGCCTGGCGGCCCCAGGCACTGGAGGCTGAGCAGTGCTCCCACCCCGCGCCCA